TCACATGTCTGCCAGTGATGACAGTCTGGGTCCAGGATGTACCACCAGCTCCAGTGCTTGGCCAGAGCCCTGTCACGAACAGGAGCTGCTGGTGGGCGTGCAGGAATGTCACTGCAGCTCTGCAGGCAGCAGGTTCTGAACCTCCTTGGTGGGGGGAAAACACGACCTGAGTTCGTGTTGGGATTTGTGGCACCAGCTGCTGAGTTCTTCAGGAGTGTTTGTGCCCTGTGTCTCCAGGAATTTAGGCAGTAATCCTCTCTGCAGTGCAGAGTGTGTCCTCTCTGACACACCAATACCTCCAAGGGGTGCCAGGGTGGTGCCAGGTCTGTTCAGTGGTGCCCAGTGGCAGCGTGAGGAGCAACAGCCATAAACTAAAACACGACGAGTTCCAGCTCAACATGAGGCAGAACTTCTTTGCCTGGAGGTGGCAGAGCCCTGGAACAGCTGCCAGGGAGGGTGTGGAGTCTCCCTCTCTCTCTCTCTGACATTCCAAACCCCCCTGGATGAGTTCCTGTGTCACCTGCCTGGGCAGGGGGTTGGACTGGGTGATCTCCAACCCCAACCAGTCCTGTCACTGTGCAGTTTACTTCAGGTTTGGGACCCTGAGGTGGCTGTAAAATGCCCAGTGATGGACAAACACAGGGTTAAAGCCACTGCCATGACCTGGGTGCCCTGATGGTGCTCTGGGTGAGCTGGGACACAACCAAATCCAGGGTTTGGTGCCAGGTCTGTGCTTCACGTGCTTGGGATATCTCAGGGTGACATAATGGTAAATTTGAGGCTTTGTTAGTGGTGCTGCTCCTGGGAGGAACTTGTTGAATAAATGCTGATCAAAGGCTGTGGGTGTGAAAAAGGAAGAGGAGGCTCCAGGGAGACCTTACAGCAGTTTTCCAGTGCTCCAAGAGAGCTGGAGAGGGACTTTTCACAAGGGCAAGGAGAGACAGGGCAAGGGGGAATGGCCTAAAGCTGAAGGAGGGAAGGTTTAGATGGGATATTGGGAAGGAATTGTTCCCTAGGAGGGTGGGGAGGCCCTGGCACAGGTTGCCCAGAGAAGCTGTGGCTGCCCCATCCCTGGAAGTGTCCAAGGCCAGGTTGGAGCAACCTGGACTAGTGAAAGGTGTCCCTGCCCATAGCAAGGGGGTGGAATATAATCTTTAGGATCCCTTCCCAGCCAAACCAGTCTGCAATTCTATTTATATATCCGTGCTGGGCCTCAATAATTTCGGTTAAGCTGCTGTATTTCAATCATTTTCTCTCATTAAGTGCCCACAAAGGCAGAGCCTGCCTGGGGTGGGGAGAGGCAGCTCTGCCTCCTCTCTGCTCTTCAAAAGCCTCTGCAGAGCAGACTGTGCCTGTGCAACCCTCCCTGAATTGCCTTTTTTTCATGCTTGGTAGCTGAAGGGCGAGTCTGGATCGCAGCAGAAGGTTCAAGAAATGTTCCCAGATCAAAGAAATTCTTTATCTTGTAGATGAAGGCTGAAATGTGCTATTTGTGGGGTTTTGCAGATCCTTATCTTGTGTGAGCTCCTGGCTAGCTTTGGTCCTTTGGTCACTTGATGTGGCTGCTCTGTCAGGCTGTGGATCTTGAAAGGCTTGTTTAAGGAACAGTTAGAAGAGCCAGTCCCACTTCAGGGAGTGATTTCTCTCTTAGCCTTGCCCAAACTTGGCTTTTGGGGGTCAGCAATCAGGGTTTTGCAGGGCAGAACTGCAGGAGAGGGGTTTGCTGAGCCACCTTAGTGTTGGGGTGGGAAAAACCTCTCCAACAGTCTATTTTCAGATGGAAGGTTTGAAGGAAAAGTCAATTTTAGGCAGGATGTTAAAGAAGCCTTAAACTGGTCTAAGACACAAAGAACTACATGTGGTGCTGCTCCAAACTGGCCTGATTTTAGTTAAACCAGAGGGATGGAGTGGTGTCAGTGAGGAGCAGAATGTGCTGTATGCTCTCTTTAATTTGCAGTGTTGAGGAGTATCTTGGTACATGGGAGTATCTTGTTTTCCTGGGGCTTGGAGATGCTGAAACGATTTTGGCTGCCAGAACATGACTCATTAGAAGAATTTTAATAGCCCTGGTGAAACAGGACCTTCCCTGTCAAACCCCAGTTGCTGTGTTGTAGTTAATTCTCCCTTTAAGCTGCTGCTCTTGCCAGTTTGCCCCCTATCAGGGCAGTCGTGGTGGTTTGAAATTGGTGTCAAATTGAAAATCTGGCAGGTTTTGGGGCCTGGTGCCTCCATTTGCCATTTCATTCTTGGTGTCTCCAGGTCTGGGCCGTGCCCCAGCCCTGGCTGTGGTGCAGCACCAGCTGTTTTGTGTTCCTGAAGTGCAGCACATGAGGGATTTGTTTGTATCCCTGGTTTTTGTTCTCCCAGAGCTGTTCCATTGCTGTGCATCAGGGAACACAGAGCTGCTCAGGCTGAGTGTGGGCAAAGCTGTGTTTAGGACTTGTAAAAGAATAGAGAAGCTAAACCTGGTCCTGAGCCTGAATTAGGGCAGGGAGTTGTTCCATCCCTCTGAGCTTGGAATTCTTAGTCCATGATGCTGCAGTTGGTGCTGGCAGATGAGTAAGGAGGGTGATTACAGGGAGTCCTGCTCTGGAGGAGATACAGATGTTGAGTAACTTCCTTTTGCAGCTTAAAATGACAATCTGTCCAACTGGGCCTGTGTGGTTCAGCTGGACAGGGCAGGGAAGGTGTTTGCTCTTGGTGCCTCCAGGCAGTGAAGCTGTTGTTGTGTTTTGGGCTGCTCCAGAACCTTCTGGCTCTTGGCAGAGGGTCTTCCCTGCCCAGGCTGCTGGGAGTGGGGCACTTCCTGGAGGTGCTGTGACTGTTTGTTGTAGGGAATTGCTGGCAGAGGCTGTTCCTTCTCCTGCTGTGCCTCGGCAACCTTGGTCTTGTCTGCTTGATGTACAGAGGCAGTTTTGCAGGAATGCCTTTCCCCGAGGCCAGGACAGAGGGTTTGCTGCTTTCACATCAATATTCCTAGATTTGGTCAGCAGGCTTGTGCAGTGGCACTCTTGGGATTTGGTAGATGTGAAGGATCTGATGTTCTGAAGCGTGGGTGGAACTGTCACTGATTCAGAGCTGACTGAATTTATTTCTGATATGGGACAGGAATGTTCTGTAGAGCCAAGCCATAAAAATATGGGAAGGGTTTGCCTTAGTGACCCACTGGGTCTCCTGGAGCTCCTGATCAAGGGGAAACACCGTTCCAGCCCCAGACAGGATTAAACCTTTGTTTTGACCTTGACAACTGTTTTCTCTTGAATTTTTGGGCCTTCCACGAGTCTCCCACTAACCTGCTGAAGAGCTTTGTGTGGACTCTTTCCAGTGGAATAGAATCATGGAATATCCTGAGCTGGAAGGGACCCCCAAGGATCATCCAGGACACCCCAAAATCCCCCCCTGTGCCACGTGCTGGGGAGAACAGTGCCAAACTGCTCCGGTGGCTCTGTGGCAATGAACCTGCTGGCGGTGCAGCAGGAATGCTGAGTCACTGCCACGGATTCCAGGGCGCAGAGGAGGATTCCTGGTGCTCTGTGGGGCAGCAGTGCCTGAGCTTTTGCCTTCAGCTGGCTCAGAAGGGGGCTGGAGGGACAAACCTCACCTCTCTAACTCAGCCTGTCCTCGGTTCCAGGGCAGAACTTCATCTCCTTCCCCCGGCACGAGGAGGAGCATCTCCAGCGCTCCGTGAGCTGGCACCCCTGCCTGCTCATCCTGGGCCAGAACTGCAGTGCCAAGTGCCAGCTGCTCAACATCCTGCTGGGGGAGAAGCTGCTGCCCACCACCAAGATCAGCAACGAGGAGAACTGCAAGAGGCGGCGGATCCGCTTCACGCACGGCAGCCAGACCCGGCTGAGCCTGGCCCTGCCCCAGCAGTACGAGCTGGTGCACGTGCTGGCAGCACACAGGGGGCACTGGGACACCATCCCTGAGGAGGACCTGGAGATCCAGGGGGACCCCGAGGACCCTGCCCACCGCATCGCCGAGCTGGAGGTCATGCTGCCCTACTCGCTGCTCAAGGTAAGGGGGTCCCCCGGTGTCCCTCGGTGTCCCTGCCCCATCCCCGGGGCATTTACAGTCCCTGATGAAGCAAACAGCCAGGCAGGAAGGGACCTGGGAGTTTGGATTGACAAGAAGCTGAACAGGAACCAGAGTGTGCCCAGGTGGCCAAGAGGGCCAATGGATCCTGGCCTGGCTCAGGAACAGGGTGGCCAACAGGGCCAGGGAAGTGATTCTGCCCCTGCACTCAGCACTGGTGAGGCCACCCCTGGAGTGCTGTGTCCAGTTCTGGGCCTCTCAGTTTAGGAAGGACATTGAGGGGCTGGAGTGTCCCCAGGGGGACAAGAAGGCCAATGGATCCTGGCC